AAAACATATTGCATCTATTTAAATTCTGCAACTCAGTGAATATTGCTAACTATATATACTGATACCACCATCATTCACCATCAAGGTAGAGAACATTTTCACTATTCTCAAAGGAATCTTGTTCATAGTTTTAATCCTTCCTTCCTCTAACACTTGTACCCCAAATTACTAATCTGCTTTTTGCCGCAGTAGATTAGCTTGCCTTTTCCAGAATTTTATGTAAATGAATCCTATGCATGCTTTGGTGTTGATCTCTTTGCTGCATATATGATTCTGAGAATGATTTGAGGTTGAGTGAACTTTTCCTGCTGGGTTGCACTGCATTATATAGATATCTTGAAGTTGACTTATTCACTCACTGGTAGTGAACAACTAGATCTTTTCCCATGTGGGGATATGGCAAATAAAGCATTTAATGAATATTTGTGTACAAGTCATTTTGCTGGCATGTGTTTTCATTTTTTCACTTTTTGACGAATAGTTAGGACTGAAGCACAAATATCCATAGCCTTGAATCAATTCTGATTGATAATGTTCCTAATATGACAGAGTGGAACTGCTCTATCTTATGAAAGCTGACTGTCCAGATTTTCTCCCACATAACTGCCAGTGGCTCCCAACTGCAGATCTTTGGCTTAATAGCTGGAAGCTGGACCTTAACACTACTGCGCCACCATGCTTTCTTTTGAGGACTAGATTAGATAGCATTATATGATAAGTGATTTTCTAACTTTAAAAAATTTTCACTTTGAGTTTCAGAATTATTGTTCCCTATTACAACAATTAACACAGTTGGGAGTTCAACATTTCCAGCCTTTCCTTCAGGTGGCAATAAACAAAAACTGCAGGTTGGTTTTAGATGGGACAAGGGAAAGCACAGCCTCTTGGTGAATTTCAAGTGGGGGACTTTTTAGGAAAAGGGAGTGGGGAAAAGGGTAGTAGATCAAAGGAAATAAACTCTATGAATGATGGGTTAAGTCCTTTTTGAAATTAAGTTGTAACTCAAACTGTACACCATTATCATTTTGTAGCTTTTGGAATGTTAATTTTAATTGCATCAGTTCTTGGTTGCAGAAGGTAGAGAAAATGAAATCTCTTCATCATTTAAATCTGACTTCCATTAAGATAGCTGGAAAAAAAACAAAACAAAACACATACACCAAAAAAAACCCATGGGGTCACAAGGGAATCTGCATGTTTTAAAAGATCTGCGTGATTCTGGGTAAGAAAATCCAGAAGTTGTTGTCAGTTGTCATTGCTACCCACATAAAAATCACTGAGGTGAGTTTTCCAATTATTAATTAGGAAAGAAACAAATATTTTATGGAAGCTCTGACAGAACTTATGTTCTTCTAATTGCTTTGAAAAAGCAAAAACTAAGCAAATTTCCCTGTAAAAGATCAGATTAACAAAGTCCAAAGATCACATTTATATAAATGTTTTATGATAATGAGTCATTTAAAGAAAATCAGTTAATTGAGATATTTTCATATTTTACATATCTATGTATGTATTAGGTAAAACAACTGTGAAACCATTAAATGATTCTTAATATCTCTATAAGTATGGATGGATATGCTTTCAGAGTAATTATGACTTTTCCCCAATGCTCCTTTGTGCCTTTTATTAATACTTAGAGAGTTGTAGATGCAACATATCAGAGTGAATTGAAATCCAACTTCTGGGGACTCAGATCTCAATCATGTTACTTAAAGTACTCTGAATCCTACTTTTCCCTAATAAAACGTATTCAGTGATAATTTATAACACGGTGCCTATCTTATAAAATCAGCATTTAAAATGTTCTTTTTCATTTCTTGCCTCTTGGAAGATAATTATTACTTATGCAATTTAGGCAGATTGAAATATGCATGAACCAAAGTAAAAATTAAGTGTGGAAAACACAGTTGTTGATCATTTTACCAATTCAAGAAAAAAGAGGATAATATACAAAGAATTGGAAAGGAAGACAACATGTTAGAAACAACGTAACTGCTCTAACACAAATTGTTTTCTAGTTTCTCCTATTTTCCATTCCTTAATGTGAGCTTTTGATGGAATTTGACAAAGTTGGGGGAATCTTAGATAGATTAATCTTAGGCTTCATTTTTACAGAATAAGACAAAAGCCTTAAATTTGGAAGCCAGAATAAAATTTTTGAACATTTGACTTAATTCAATATCCATTATTATTGTAAGTCAAATACCACTGGCTCATTTCAGATATAGAATGCCCGAATGCCACCCAGGTGCAGATTTGGAAGGAAGGATAAACTCAAAGTGTCTGCACTCTCAAAATGATAAGCAATATAAAACATTGTCTTTGTGGACTGTGTTATGTCAGTTCGCTTAGTGTACCCTGAGACTAAAATGTACCCCCAAGGCAAGTGACAAATGTTCTACAGCTATTAAGTTATTGCCAAGTTGTTTTCATACCTTTGCCCCCTATTGTTATTGTTAAGTGTAGTTTAGTCAGTTATGACTCACAGCGATCCTAGATAGGGTTTGTGATCAGTGGCTGGTAAATTTGAACTGCAGATCTTGTGGTTCAGACCAGCCTTCTTGTCCAGTGTTTATTCTACAGCGTCACATATATGGTCTACTATAGCCATGAATACATTTATCACCACCCTGAAAGAGATCACAAAAGGAGGTCCTGGATAGAGTAGGAGAAAATGTGGGATTAATTAAAAAGGCTAGGTTTATTGATCTGAAAGGAGACTAATCTAATCCCAGAGATTATGGTTCTTGGATATCTCTCAGGTTGGAACCGAACTCCTGCCCATGTTCATCTTTCAACTAAATAATAATAAGTCTATCAGCTGAATAGGGAGGTAAACAATCTTCTTAGAGCAATTAATTATTGGGTATTAAAAGGGTAGCATTTGTACAGGGCTAAAGCTTAAAGTGCATGAAGGCATAGGAACAAAGGTCAAATGAAAGCGGGGAGAAAGTGGAAAGTGCTGCTACATTGTGGGGACTTGGCTCCATGTCACAAAGCAAAATGTGTATAAATTGTTGAGTAGAAAACCAATCTGCTCTTCAGACTTTCACAAAAATGACAGTAAGATCTATTTATTTTAATGATAAGGAATTGGGAGGGAGTGCTGGCCTCAATATTTATGATTCTCCAGTTATCAATTCTAAGAAGATGAATTACTATGAAACACACAAACAAAAAATCAGTGATATGTCACATTGTTCAGTATACAGCCCCAAAGTCTTTAATCACTATGAGACGGTACCAACTCGATGGCACCTAACAACAACAACAAAAACTTTGATTCAGCAATTTTTATAATGGCTATGTAGAACTCACAGATAGAAGAAACATAAGGGAATATGAGGAACTTATTGTGAGGTGACTTATCAGTCCTCATAAAAATAAAGGAGCTTTGGTGGCCCAGAGCTTACCCACTTTGCTACTAAATGAAAGGTTCAAATTCACCAGCTGCTTCACAAGAAAAAGATGTGGCACTCTACTTTCTTACACTGTGGGGCAATTTTACTGTTTAAAGGTTGGTTTGAACTGCAAGGTCATTGGTTCAAGCTCATCAACTGCTCCTTAGAAACCCTATACAGGGTCTCTCTGAATCGGAATCCATTCTATGGTTCATAACAACAACGATATAGAGTCATTTTGAGTCTAAAATGACTAGAAGGCAGTGAGTTTGGTTTTCAGTACCTTACTGAAGGTATCTTGATTATTTTCCTTCCACACAGACCAAGTAGTAGATGATGAACCAAAATTTGATATCTCCATTCTTGAAAATATATATCAGTTTATTATGTGTGAGATTCTCTTTTGATAATGCAAGTAAATGAAAGAGAAGGTGAATAAAAAGACTTTTAGAGAAAGATAATTTAGATATAAAACATGATCTGGGATAGTAGACACAATCTGAGAGTGGCATGTAAGTATTTCCTTTGCAAAAGTGTTTCTGTTCTTCATTTCAATGAGAGTTTAATTAAACAATAGTTAATTGAAAGGAAAATAATACTACACACTTTAGACTTTGGCCACACAGATACTGATGTTTTTCCTATGACAAAATTGATGGAAGCAAAGGAACTTGTAAATTATCCATTCCAATGAGTTAATTCTTTTTTCAATTTCCAGGACTAAATTTCCTCTAAAAGTTAATTCAATTTGCTAAAATAGTGCAGTACATTATAGAGAAGACATACCATTCACACAATTGAAGATATGTGTATTTGATAGCTGACCACTGCTTTGGTTTGGGTTGTTTTGTTCTGTTTTACTTAAAACAAGACAATGAGTTTCATTAGTGGAAATGCAAGTTGGAGGCTTTTTAGAGAATAGAAAACTATTCTCCTATGAAAGGACCAGTTTTCAACCATAGCTAGGGGTTTACTAATGTAGACTGTCAGCTATATATTTGGATTCCAAACAACTAGGGAACAGCTAATACAAAGCAGGAACTTAGTAAATAATTTTTAAAGTAGTAATGATGTATAAAATTTATTTTAATGTTTCTCTACCACATTTTCCATATTCTTCATTCTTCAAGCTGCCTCCACATAAGTTTCTTCAAAATGATTATGGCTAATATAAGCTCAATGAATGGATTCCTCCTCATGGGGTTTTCTGACATTTGGGAGCTACAGATTTTACATGCTTTGCTGTTTTTACTGGTGTATCTATTAACCTTAACAGGTAACCTCATCATTATCATCATCACCACTCTGGACCAGCATCTCCAAGCCCCAATGTATTACTTCTTAAAGCATCTTTCCCTCCTGGACGTTTGTTTCATTTCTGTCACAGTTCCTCAGTCCATTGACAATTCTCTGATGAATGATGGCTCTATGTCACAAGATCAGTGCATATTGCAAGTTTTCATCTTCACATCTTTGGCTTGGGCTGAGGTGGCCATTCTCACAGTGATGTCTTATGACCGCTATGCCGCCATATGCTTCCCACTACACTACGAGGTCATCATGAATCCTAGGAAGTGTCAGTGGGCTGTGAGAGCCGTATGGTTAAGTGGAAGCATCTGTGGAATCTTGTACACAACAACCACATTTTCCATCACATTCTGTAAAGCCAAAATAATTCACCAGTTCTTCTGTGACGTTCCCCAGTTGCTAAAGCTCTCCTGTTCCAATGATTACCTTGGAGTGATTGGAGTGTCAGGTTTCATATCTGTGATGGCATTCATGTGCTTCACCTCCATTGTCCTCTCCTATATCCACATCTTCTCCACAGTACTAAGAATACCTTCTGATGAGGGAAGATCCAAGGCCTTCTCTACCTGCCTGCCTCACCTCTTTGTTGTCTCATTTTATCTCTCCATGGCTGCCTTTGCATTTCTAAAACCAACCTCAGACTCTCCAACTGCTTTTGATCTTATAATTTCTATGTTTTATACTGTGATCCCCCCGATGATCAACCCTATTATCTATGGTCTGAGGAATGAGGCCATGAAGGAAGCTTGCAGAAAGCTATTGTTGGGTGGACAATTCACCAAGAAAACACCATACTTGTCCTGTTGCTTCTGACTGGATAATATTTTATACAAGAAAAATATTAAATATTGTGGTATTAACAAAATGCAATAAATATATATTTTTGTGGCATATAAAGTGATCATACAATATAAACACTGTAATTCCTTTACAATTTTTAGTTGTTAAAATCATTTGTAGAGTCTTTCAAATAAAGAGAAAATAAACAAGTATAACATTTTAATATAGGCCCCTTATACACCTTTTGTGGTGGTGTTCCATTGGACTGCTAACTAGAAAGGCAGCAGTTCAAACCCACAAGCTACTCCATGGGAGAAAGATGTTTTCTGTTCTTGTAAATAGTTAGCACCTCATATGTCCTATACAGGGCCATAGCAAGAACAACTCTCTATACCCTAGGTATATATATATGGGTACAGGCACAAACAAGAATGCAATGCCAAATATGTATACTTTTGATTTTTTTTTTTTTCAAAATAAACAACACTACAACAAAGAATGAATAAAATAGTGATGATTTTCCCAAACCCCACCAAATAAACAAGTCAACCATTTATACTTCATTTGTTTATTTTCAAATGTCCATCTTACTTTTTGTGTTAATACATACAAATTTTGCATATTGGTGCAAGAAACAGTAGTAATAGAATGACTGATAGATTGGCCGCCAGCCAAACGGTTGGCAGTATGAATATATTCAGTAGCTCTGCTGGAGAAAAGACCTGGCATTCTGCTTCCAGAAAGTTTTCAGCATAGAAAATCCTATGGAGCAGATCTACTCTGTCACATGGTGGTGGTGGTGGTGGTGGTGTGCTGTGGAGTCGGTTCTGAGTCATAGAGACCCTGTATAGAGTTTCTGAGACACAAATCTTTACGGGAGCAGAAAGCCTTATCTTTTGCTGGTAGTTTCGAACTGCTGACCTCAAGGTTCGCAGCCCGATTTGTAAGCACTATGCTACCAGAGCTCCTTACTCTGTCACATGGGTCCCTATAAATTGAGAAGTGATTCAACTGTACCCAACAACAATGTACAGTTACATAGTTTTACTTTCATAATATTAATACATGCATGGCATTCAATGGAATTAATATCATAACCTACCTGGACCTTGTTTGGGTGAAAACCTGTCAAATATTTTCCAGTAAATAAGCAAGAGATCAATGGTAGGGACTGCACTCTGTCAAAGGTAGAAAACTTGCAAGACTTGGAGAAACAGGACAGTCTGGTTGACTACTTCTCTCAGAGATTTCACTGTAAATTTAACTATTCACCTATTTTATAATATTAGTTATTTTCAATTTTTGAATCTTATATATAATTCTAAATATGGTAGTTCTGTTATTCATAATTCCAAAGAATAGGATTGCTAAAACAATGTTCATAAAAGTACAAGTCTCTTGAACATTCATTGATTTCCAATCAGAGCAAATCATTTTATGTAGCCATTAGCCATCAATGGCGTTCTCACATCTTTTGCATGTCCCAAGGAGTTTTATTTATCAACAGAAGACGTATTCACATAGAATATATTGTTGTTGTTTTTAAGTGCCTTTGTCTCAGGTGTGACTCACAGTGATCTCATATAGCATTTCCGAGGAGTGGCTGGTGAGTTTGAACCACTGACCTTGATGTTTAAAGTGACCTTGTGGTAAAATGCTTATACTACGTTGCCAAACATATATGGTAACTGAACCCATTCTAGGTGCCTGAAACAACAAAGTGTGTAATATATGAGCAACATTGGATATAGTATTTTGAAAGGAGCCCCGGTAGCGTAGTGGTTGTGAATCGGGCTGCTAACCTCAAGGTAGGCAGTTCGAAACTACCAGCCGTTCCATGGGAGAGGATGAGACTTTCTGCTCCCGTAAAGACTTACAGCCTCAGAAACCCTGTTCAGGGTCACTATGAGTTGGAATCGACTCCACAATATTTAACAAGAACAACAACATAATACTTTGAAGGAGCTCTGCTAGCATAGAGGTTAACAACAACAATAATACTTTGGGTAGTAGATTCATTCTTTGGTTTATAAAGTATTTTTATGGTCTTTAGTGCCTATTCTCAGACATGGATTTTTAACCGCTTCATTGATTCTAAGAAACATTGTGTTCTTGAAGTGATACCATAATTGAATATGTATCAATTAATTTGAGGAATATTCTTGCTTAATATTACGAAGTTTGTGCCAGCAAAAAATACAAAAATTGAAGTTTTTTACCAAGTCAGATGTTTTAATTATCTTTATTATACTAATTAACATTTTCAATAGGTTAACTTTGTAGTTTTACATTTGTAAAATTAATATAAACCTAACTCATGCATTGCAGTTACCTAGTATCCTGAAACAGTACCTTAAGTTATGGGAATCCCCACATTACTATATTTTATATTGATGTTGTTAGGTACCATCAAGTTGCTTCCAACTTATAGTGACCCTTTGTACAACATAATGACACAATACCCAGTCCTGTGTCATACTCACACCTCTTGTTAAGCTTGAGTCCAGTGCTGCCACAGCTGTGTCACTCTGTCTTTTTGAGGGTCTTCTCTCTTACACTGACCCTCCACTCTACCAAGCATTATGTCCTTCTACACTGACTAGTTATTACCATCCAAAGCAGAAAACAAAATATCAGTTTTTAGGTCTATCTTACAACAGAAATTCCAACATAGAATTTAGGTTTTAATAAAAATTGATGTAGCCTGAGACTCCAACTTAAGAGCAACACCAGACAGAGGACACTCTGTGGAATTCATTTCCTCTGAGGTTGTTGGTTGAGGTCTTAAGCTTTGAGGAACTTATATTCACACCCCACTAATGAAAACTCTATTATATTTTGATGTTTAAATGGACAAGAATATATTAGTGAGTACATTCATTTTTCTCCTTCTTTTCTCCTTCTTTCATAACTGACCACAATGTATAGCTAGTAGCAAAAGTTAAGTGTAAAAAGGAAATGAAATAAAATGGAAAAAAGAGGAAATGCAACTAAATAATGATTGGTGGTTTGTAATATTTTATTCCTACCACTTGTGTCTGTCAGCTAGTCATACTGTGGTGGCTTGAGTTTGGCTGTGATACTGGAAATTACGTCAAAGATATTTTAAATACCAGCATGGTTATGCAAAGTGGACAGGCTTCAGCTGAGCTTCCAGATTAAGATAGACTAGAAAGAAGATTTTGAGTATTTCTTAATGTTTAGTCACTGAACACCTTATGAACAGCAGTGGAACTTTGTCAGAAATAGTGTCAGAGAATGAAAACATTATGGGAAGTTCCAGAATATATAGCATAGGAAGATGAAACCCTCAGGATGGAAGGCACTCATAATATGAATTATTATTAAAAAAAGGCAGAAGAGCTGCCTCCTCAGAGTACAACTGATCCTAATGACACAAATGAAGTATACTTTCATGAATTCATTTGCTGATGGGGCACAACTCGAAATGAGAAGAAACAGTTGCAAACATCCATTAATAATCAGAACATGGAAGGTATGAAGTATGAATCTAAAAAAATTGGAAATTGTCAAAATAGAAATGAAAAACAAAAAGATCACTATCCTAGAAATTAGTGATTTGAAATGGACTAGTATTGACAGTATTGAATCTGGCATTCATATGGTTTACTAGGTCGGAAACAATAGACTAACAAGGAATGATGTCATATTCATCATTAAAAGAATGTTTTGAACTTACAACTCAATGTATAGAAAACAAAATCCTTACCACTGGACCAATAAATAATATCATGATAAATGGAGAAATGTTTGAAGTTGTCAAAGACTTCATTTTGCTAGGATCCACATCAACACTTATGGAAGCTGCTTTCAAGAAATCAATGACATGTTGCATTAGGCAAACCTGCTGGAAAAGTGTTCAAGAGCAAAGTTATCAGTTTTGGACTAAGATGTGCCTGACCCCAGCCATGGTATTTTCAGTAGCCTCATATGCATGTGAAAGATGGACATTGAATAAGGAAGATCACAGAAGAAATGATGCCTTTGAGTTATGGTGTTGGAGAAGAATAGTGAACGTTCCATCAACTAGCAGAATAAGAAAAAAAATCTATCTTGGAAAACCTACAGCCAGAATGCTCTTTGAAGCCTGGTTGGCAAGACTCTGTCTATCATACTTCAGATATGTTATCAGGAGGCACCAGTCCCTGGAAAAGAACATCATACTTGGTAAAATGCAATGTCAGCAAAAAAGGAGAAAGACCCCCTCCTACTACCCCCATGAGATGGATTGATACAGTGGCAGAAGCAAGGGCTCAAGAGTAACAAGAAATGTGAGGATGATGCAGGACAGGGCAGTGTTGTACATAGGGTCATTATAAATTAACCTATTTGATAGCACGTAACAACAACAATATTTAATTCAAATATTTTTTCAAAGATATAAACCATTATGTGTAGAGTTTATTGTTTTTTATACACCACTAGCCTTTTTCCTCTTTCCTTTTTCTAACCCTTAAAAGGGTAGATGCCATCCAGTAATTCCCACTAATAGCCAATCCATGCTTAACAGAAATTATTTATATCATTAATGGTAAGTACTAAGTCTTGCCAATTATAGGAGCAGCAAATATTCTCTCTCATGCTAAAGTTTGATTTTCATTCACTCTATGTTAGGTAGATATTCTCCATAACATCTTTTGTTATGTAGATAGTCTCATTGTATTTTGTAAAAGCGATGAAATAAATTGTTTTAAATAAATGTACATT